GCCATCATTGCTTTGCATCAAAATGGCCTCACATGCAAGGAAATTGCTACAAAGAATATTGCACCTGAAAGAGCCATTTACCGGATCATCAAGAACTTCAAGGAGAGAGGTTCAACTGCAGTGAAGAAGTCTTCAGGATGTCCCAGAGTGTCCAGCAATCACCAGGACCGTCTCCTCCGGAGGAGTCAGCTACAGAGTCGTGTCTCCAGCAGTGCAGAGCTTGCTCAGGAATGGCAGCAGGCTGGTGTGAGAGCATCTGCACGCACAGTGAGGCCAAGACTTTTGGACAACGGCCTGGTTGACTCATTATATATTTTTGCCAATAAAAGCCTTTAAAACTTACGATATGCTTATCATTGTTTTTCAGTATACCATAGAAACATAATCTACAAATACTGAATCAGCAAACTTTGCAAAACACCAAATTTATGTCACTGCCAAAACTTTTGGCCATAGAAACGGTCATGTCCAAGTTGCTCAAGTGTTTTTTTTTTTGTTGTTTTTTTGTGAGGCTGCAGCGTCCTCTTGTGACCGAAAGCAACAACACATCAAGCGCACAGAATGAATACCAACTTTTATTGATCAAGAAACTGAAGATGGCAAATGCTTCACCATAAGGACAACCTTCGGACAGAAAAAGTGTCAAAACAAATCTCACACAGGTTCTAGAGCAGTCCGTCTACGTCTCTTACAGGGATGCAGCCGCATGTGAGCAGACTAGAGGAACAGAAACAGGTTTAGTTCACATTTTGTTAAAGTTCGGCCCCTTTCAGACATACTGTACACATTGGCATCAAAACTTTTGTACAAACAAACTGTGATTCATTCTTGCATAACGCACATCTCGTAGTCATCTGTGCAAACTTGATTAATCCTTCATTAACTCAACAAGAAGCCGGTGAGGGAGCCCTAAAAACAGGACAGAACCAAAAATGAAGAAATTACCTTCCTTTGGATATACAAAGCGTGCCTTTCAATATCTTGTGCTCACGTTCATCACAGAATATTCACACACACCGCTCATCATCGACGATCTCCAAGACACACACTGACGTCAGTATCTCCAGCGTGTAGCTACTTCCTCCAAACCAAACAGCGCACACAGCTACAGCTTTCATAGGTTACCATTTGTGTCTTCATCGATGAGAAATGTGTAATCCCGAAGGAAAACAAGTAAAAATGACAGATGACGAACAAGGAAACACACAGATGTAAACATTTTTATCGTTTGGAAAATAAAAGGACACCTGAGGCTGTTCGATTTCAATTCTCAAGTCACTTTGTGTCATTTTAGTACCAGTTATTTGCTGAATCCAGTATATTGCGTGTTCATGATGCAAACCGGTAACAGATCCTCCTTAAGATTCATCTTCATCACCAGCTTTTTTTTGCACAAAGTCTCCAGTTTTTAACTTTGAGGATACAGTAACAGAAACCAAACAAAAATCAAAACCATCAGTGCAAAACTCACAGTAAACAGACATCAGACTAGATCTGCCATCAAGATCATTTTCAGACATGATGGAACTTTCAGGAGTGTCGCTTGGACCTTTTGGGTCACAAAAACTACTGCAAAATGTAATTTTAGGCTGATAAATAAAAGAAAACAATCTGGCACATCAATTTAGAGGAATCGTGTGCAGCAGCAGGAATGAAAACATGAAATACTGGCATAATAATAATAATAATTACAGACTTTAGTCGGGGTAGATGTTGTGTTTAATTTCACTCAAGAACAAATTAATCTTCAA